AAAAAAAAACTAAAAATATGGGCTCTGAGTGAACCCACAGTGGGTGCCAGAAGTAAGTAAAATGGAGTGAGAAACAGTGACCCTTTAGAGGGCCCTTTCACAGGGGCAGAGCGGGTGGGGAAAAACTAAACATTAATAGCAACAGATTCAGAAGTCAGCTTCTTGAAGCAGTATTCCTGGTAAATGAACTAACCAACCAATTAAACAATCAAGGAACCAGTAAAATTTCAGTCTATTTACACAAATCTTGATTAAAGAACACTGCAGCATGTAAGATTCATACCTCTGGTGTCGCGGAGAAGGGGTAAGAAGGCACGAATGACCCTCACTGCACCCCACACATTAACATCCATGACCTTTTTGCATACATCAATAGGCACCCACTCTACATAACCAAATGCATTCAGCCCTGCATTGTTCACCACTGCCCACAAGCCTGAAAGCAGAACATCACAACTATTAGCACAGAATGCAAACTATCTGCCTTATAGAAGCTTCAATTATTTCTTCTAAAACAAATAAAATATTAATTATGTTTTCTTGAACCTCCTTCCATTTACCACTTCAGTGATTTTCCCAGAACTTTGCCATCATTCACACTATTTTTCTACTCAGTTTATCCCCCCCCCCACAAAAAAAGAAGTTTTGGTCCAGGGTACTGCTCTGAAAGCTGTTATGCATAGTTCTCATGTTTCTCAGAAGGTTTCAGCACCATATGGAATCACTTATCATGGCTTTCCAAATGCAAGAACAATGAACTTCATATTTTGGGCAACATAAGGCAATTAAAGGTCATCAAAAGGGATTAAATTTTATGCAGACAAAAGTAATCATTATTTCTACATATGCTTCTGTGGAAGAAAAATAGGAATTACATAAATTCTTCAAAATTAATAGCATTCTTCTTATTATTCTTCTGACACATTAAAGGGGTTTTGTCCAACAATCACACCTGTCTTTCTATCTTTGACTTCTTGAAGTTCCTCCTCAGTCCCCTCCCATTATCTTTGTTCCTTCTGAATGACATCTTTCCTAATGTGCTGTTCACATCTTTATCTTGCATTTCATCTTTTTATTTTTATATTTCCAAATCGTAAATGGTCATTCTGATGTAATAATATAGAAAGAAAAATCACAGGCCAATGTGTTACAGGATATTGGCTTCATCTGAACAACTGCACTGTTTGGAATGTACCAATTTTTCAAACTTACCCCCGCAATTTTCATCCATCATTGGCTTTGATATTTATTCAGTACCGATATGAATCTATTAATGGCAGACTTAACAACAGTGATATTTTACACTGCAAAGAACTATTAATTCTATTACTATTTAACAAAGCTATTAAAAAGTTCATGCTACGAGTATACTGTATAGGTGATTAAATAATGTTCCTTGCAGTCTCCCAGATGTGCACCAAATAAAAAATTATTCAAATACAATACATACATCTGCATGAACCCACAACTTTATGACAAGCAACTATTGGAAAATTTCATGCAGTTCAAGTCAAGTTCATTAACCAAAAGCCTGATATCACATATATCCATTTGCATATTTAATTTCTCATTATTAAATAAATTCCATATTTTCTACCAGACTACACAGTGTCACATCCCAGAAGACAGTAATCTTACTAAAATGTTCCCTTGGAATACTGGATCTTCACTTGCAATGTTCATCAGTACACTGTACATTTCAACAGAACATAAGGAGAAAGTAATTTAGACCTCTTTACAGCTGACTAGTTTTGTCAGGGACAAAACTTATAATTGTGAACACCCCATTTCTGTAAGAGTGATTTTAATGTTATCCTCCCACCTGTGCCTAGTTTCCCAAGTGGTCTATTCCCTTTAGGTTTTCTGATCAGAACTATGTCTTCAGTTCTCATTTCTACCATGCATGCTACAAGTTTTGGCAAATAGCACTGTCCTCACTTTATTCACACTAACATTAGTGCAGCATACAAATTGTGAAATTCCTCATTAAGGATTAACCAGTCACTAGATCAAAATACAATCACCTTGAGGTGGAATATGCCTGCTGACATATTGAACAGCAGCTGCAACCTGTTCGTCAGATGTTACGTCCATCTGTATGATGTGAAGCCTCTTCAGGTTCAGTTCTTTCAGCTCCTTTGCACCACCTTCCTGTGACTTCACACAGCCAGCGAACACTACTGCACCCTGTAAAAGCACTACAACTTTGCAACTTCTTACTTTCCCATAAAAGTAGTATATGCTCATATGAGACAGAACAGCAATGGTGAAAAAACGGATGTTATGATTTTGACAGATTTATACATTTTGGACACCCTGAATACAAAAGAAGCGATTTTTTTGGAATGGTCTGTATGTATGTGCCCCTCACGTGCATCTGAATAGTTGAACAAAATATGTTCATCTGGTATCTATCCATCATACATTTGTTTGAAGAGTTTATCCATCATAGGTCAGTACTGAGTGAATATGAATATCCTAGCTTAAAAAATAGGGTTTCTTCAGATAGTCTCTGCCTTCCCCGCCTCAAAGAGACTTTTTAAAAAATGATTTTGATTAAAGATCAGTAGTTTATGGAGACCACTGCCACAGACAAAATCTAATAGGTAGTATCTGCTCCTGCTCATTTCTTGCTTGGATTACTCTTCAACCCTGATGATGGAGGTGATATGTTCCTCTGAAACACCAAGCTCTCCCCAGACTATGTAGTGTTACAACCCAGATGACCATTCTAATCATAAACCCGATGCTCAAACTCAACTTCTCCAAATTAAAAAAAAATACCTCATTGTACAAAAATCAATACAAAACCTAAAATACTGATCTCATTAAATTCTACAACTTTCATTTAAAACATAATGAAATGCAAAGAAAAATATTTCTTACTTAGTGAGGTATATTTAGTGTCATTAACTTTGCAAATAAGAGACTTGTATTTATAGCAATGAATGTTTAAATCTATAAGGTGTGCAAAATGACAAAGAATCCATATGGAAATTGTGTGTATTTCGCTGTAGAACTTTCTTTGCACATTCCAAATCGTTTGTGGCTTCAAAGAATAGATTCTTTTTATTTTTAAGTGAAGACATACACACAGCCTACCTCTGAAATACTCTACATATTTTAAGTAGACTGAGACAGACACACAATGGAAAACATCCAAAGAAAACACACCCACAATGTCACTTTAGTACAGACAAAGCTATAATAAGAGTGTTCCAAAATTGCTGAGGGGGATAATAGAATTTGTAACAAGCTGCTAGTTCATCACTGGAAGAAGAGCATACATACAGAAACATGTCATATGGAAAACTAAAAACTATTCAAATTAACATCTAACAAGTAACTCATATAGATAATATTTATGTACAGATATCTTGAGAAAATAACGACATATTCCTTTTCCAGATAAATCAAATTTCTATGTGAAATCTGAGATCCTCACAACAGTTTCTTTGAAGATTACTGTCATGTGGGTTGTCATGAATGCAGTCTGCAGACCAATGTTTCTGAGTAGCCTGCTGCCTCCATCTTCAGGGCAGAAAAGTAAGATAAACATGGGGAAAAAGTGGTATTGATATATGGGAGAGGGAGGTTGGGGACCAGGGCCCTGAGTGAACTGAATGGGTTGGACACAGCAGGTTCCTCTGACACACAGGTAAAACTGTACGAGTCCACACTGCATCACATTCCAGAAGACAGCAATCATTTGTTTTTATATTCCCCTCTGTAAAAGAGCTGTAACACATGCTGTATCCAACTAAAGAAACGTTGTTCTTACCATTCTTTCTAGCCGAAGTGCCAATTCATATCCAAACCCCGAATCACAGCCTGTGATAAGCACTGATTTTCCACTCAGTGACACCTATATCAAAGATGAAATTGCTTCATCAACCAAAGACTGACTCACACAATAGTCAAACAAATTATGGAATAAATTTGATTAAGACTAAACTGTTCTTGGAAACTTTTAATTAATTTAAGCGCTGAATTTGAAAGCAGATTTATCACTGAACATCGCCATGCAACTATCAAGTCATTCTCAATGAAGTTTATTATGGTTCATGCCAAGTTACTGCAGACAGATGTATCAAAATTGACTGTAATCACTTCCTAGTTATATTAGATTTCAAAGATAATACCAATGTGGTTTGAAATAATATTTATATTCTCTGATCATTTTAGTAAAAGATTTCCTGTCTTATATGCCTTATTATGTCTTTTTGACATATTCAAAGATATAATGGCAAACTTCTTGTAAAACACATATAGGTGGCTCTCTATATCCATGTGCTTTTGCATATCTGGTGTTTTATTTCAGCATCAAAAGGAGCATGAATGTCCTATTTGTGGCCATGACAGAAGCTGCAACACATGCCCAGAAAGTTGCATGGGAAATTTCCCATACTTGCTTCACCATTCAAACTGAATCATGTCATTTCCTACCCATTACATTCCGTATTTGTTCAGTGTATTTCCTAGTTCAGTTATAAGCCAGATTCTTACCTTAAGACAGTCCCGGTAAAAGGAAAATGCAATGCCCAATAATATGCCAGTAGAGAACACAGCAAGTGGGCTTACTTTCTCTAGACCAGGGAGGGTTACTACAGTCTTCAAAAAAGCAAAGATCAATGCAGACCCAAGCCCAACCTGAAGACCTCTAAGTACAGCCCGGTAAATCCCATCCAGAGAGCAGTCCATTTCAACAAACTCAAATTTTCAGCCAACTGAGCCTGGACACACGAAATGAATGCTTTAATCAATACAGTCATGCTCTTGTTGTGTTATAATACTTTTTATTCTGGGATAAATTTCTATAAGATTATGGACAGATTTCATTAATAAGTTCAATGATGCCATGAATATTATAATCGAAAATTGCCAAGATTTCTAAACGAAACATGAAAGTGAAGGTGTTCCTTCAAAATAATTAGACCTCACAGGTTAAAAAAATAATATACTATATTTTGAGATTTGATATTCTCATGGCAATGAACATTAAGATTATACATCTTCTGAGATTTGATGCCATGTAGTCTGATAGATGCATTACAAGCTTCAATCATCATTGCCCCTATAAACCACAGCATCTCATTCCAAATGACCATAATCTTAATAACACAAGCACATTTTCTCTGTAATTTAGGATAAAGGTATCCTTGTGCCTAAACATGCCACAAAGACATGGAAGTACACCTCCACATACTATTGACCTCTTCACTAGGGACAGTTACATTTTCATCTTGATTATCTGGCCACATTACCCCTGAAAATCCACTGGATAGCATGCTGTATGATCCCAATAGCTTGTTTGTATGTGGTGATGAAGAGAGGAATCTCTGGACCTGTCAGGATTTCTCCTAAAATTAATCTTTATTTTAGCTTAATCTTCTTTTTTGTCTCATGATCTAATCAGGAAATACAAGTGTGACAACACATCAAACCTTAAACTCAGGGTTTCTCAAACTGTAGGTAGTGACCTTTTGTGGGGGTGGGTTACTGAGTTTTAAAGAGTATTTAAAATACATTTGTAGACTTAAGTACTTTTGACAAGTCAGTAAGTTTTAATAAAGGTAAAGTATAAAAAAGTAAAGTTGTCCATGTATTTAAATAATTAACCACTACAACATGAAGACATGTGGGGTCATGGATGTCTAATTCCACGTTTCCTTGACCATGGGCTTGCCTTATATTCAACGTGTCCACTGACTTTAAAGCTATGACCAAAGAGGAGATGGCGCAGTGTGATTTGGAGCGGATACCAAAGAAGCAGTGCATATCAGATGTGGTGGAGTGCCCGGCCAAACAGGCTATCAATAAGGTGCTGACATCTGGAGAGGCAGATGGAAAGCCACTGCATCCAAGAGACATGGGCTGGGCGGAAAGGGGCCTTGACCCATGGCCTCCTAACAAGGTCTATGTGGTATGACCCAAATTGGAGAATGAAATGGACATCAGCTACAATTAGGAAGTGAGAGGAGTTCACTGACATTTTGGAGGAATAGACTGCCTTTGTTTTCAGGATTCTTACTAGTTACTTGCTAGGCTTGCTCTTCAAGTTTTCAGCCCTGAAGCCAGAGGCAGAACATTCCTCCAAAACGTTAGAGAACAAAATTATATCACAGCTTAGGAGATTATACCCTTCTTTCAAAGCTAATAAAGTTACATTTATACACATATATCTAAAAGCTTTCATATGACTATTTGTGTAGTCTCCATTTGACGATGGTCATGTGACTGAAATATATCACGGAACTAATATCACTATACATACAAAGTTTGTGAGACATTACACAGAAATCCTTTATAACAAAACAGAAATGTTGCATATTATATTATATATGTTAGATTGTAATAAAGTCTGTGAATATAAATTTAATCTAATTACAAGAAGACATACAACTCTTATGACCTCCCAATAATGCATCTTCTGTGTTAGTATTTTCTTCCATACAGTACTTGCAATAAAATACATACCTTCAAGATCTCACCTACGATACAATAAATATTCAGCAACTTACTGAAAACTAAGAAGGAGAAGAACACATCACATTGCTGTACTAGAGTTAGATTAAGTTTTCAGAGTGTTTGCAAAAAAGAAACCCTGAATTCCTAAAAAAAAAAAAAAAAAAACACTTCCCTGAACTCATGAAACCTTATTTATAATGTATGATCTATAGTTCTACTCACACACTTGCACGTTCTGTCTAATTAGAAAAACACTTCTTAAGCTTTTGTAATATGAACCTTTAACCAGGCTATGTCTGTGGATGTGACTGCTGAAGACAGGAGAGGAAGAGATGCTTCCTCCCACACAGTCTGTCTTACTCATCAAAACACTGTACTCTAAACACAAGCTATAAATATATAATCAGTTTAAACTTGAAAACAAACTATTAATAGACTTTCTGCACAACTGCTAGCTTCATTTCATTTCCTCAATATGTATGAGGGTCTCATTCTGCATGTCCTTCATGTTAAAGACATAAAATAACATATTTAAAAGAAAATTTGAAACTTTAAAGTGTGTAACAGCTGCAAAACTATACACTGTTACTAACATCCCAAAGAAGTAAAAAGGATAGGGTACTTTTGGATTTAGTCTGTTTATTTAATAAAGACAACACTGGGCCACACCAAGATGTATAGGTGACATGGATGCCAAATTTAACAAATTCTCAGTTTTGACATTAGGTTGAGGTGAGTGGCCAGTTCCTTACACCCATAGGAGAGGACAGTGTGTGGACCCTGTAGCCATTCTGGACATGGTGGCAATGAGAAATGTTCCTGTCAGGTCTGAGATTCTCATAGTGGTGACTAGCAGTTGGGATGTGATGCCGTGTAGACTGGTAGAAGTTCACTGATGTTTCAGAGGGACACACTGCCTCAAACTTTGGAATCAAAGAGCAGGCAAAACATGTAGGCAGCGAGATGCAGGAAGCAAGTACAGTAAAAGCAGAGCTCCGCTTGCTGCCAGCCTCTGAAATGTCACTGAACCTCTGCTAGGAAGTTGAACACCAGCCATGTAGCTTGTAGCCAATTATTTCACTCAGTGATCTATCCCAGCCTGACCTCTACTCATTTAATGGCTCTGTATCAATTGCAGAATTAATACTCACCCGTAAATGGTAAATATGTTAAGAATGATGAACTGAGAGAGATATTAAAGGAAATGGTTACAGCCTGCATCAATGTAATATCAGAACCCTTGCTGGAGGAACTGAGATAAACTATAACAATTCCTTACAGAATATAGAATTTAAAGCACGAAACAACATGTATATAAGCAGTATGGAAATACTGAAAGGGGGCACATGGTAGCACAGTTGGTTGAGGCACATTTTGAATCCATGCACTAGATAGTGGTGAGTGGTCAGCTTCACACATCAGATGCTCTCCCCCCGCCCTGGCCCAAAAGAGCCTCAGTACCCACTGGATAGGAGACTGGGTAGACCCCAGAGCTGGTGTACATTTGGCAGAGAAGAGAGAAATCTGCTGCCCCTCTCAGTAATTGATGCCCAGTTCATCGACCATCCAACCTGTAGCCAGTCACTATACTGAATGAGCTATCCTGGCTTACCTTCTTCAGATCTCAGCCTATAAATAACTTCTCTTCAGTCCTTCCCAGCACATTCTGGGTAGTGTCTCACCACTTCAAACACTTCAAATACACATTGGCAGTGTTTCAACTTGCAATGCAGAGAAACATATTGGAAACTCAAACAGATCATGTAACCAAGAGAGATGAAGTAACAGACTGGAAATACTACACATGATGGAACGTAATAATTTCTACCAACCCCATAATATTGTTACTGCTTCTGTGATACATCATTTTTTAAGGCATGTTACACCTTGAGTAGGCAACCTTAACCAACTAACTGGATGAGTCCCTCCTTAGCATCCAGCAATTGCTCAGCCACTCAAGAAATTCCCAGCATTTTATGTACCCGAAAGTTCATGACAGTGTTCGCAAAAGGTCATCATTGGTCTCCAACCTGAGCTACATTAATCCAGTCCACACCCCTCTTACTAGTTCTTTATGGTTTATTTTAATATTATACTCCCACCTATGTGGATATCTTCCTTGTTGTCTCTAAGATTTTTCCTACCAAAACCATGTATGTACTCCTCTTATGCTTGCTAAATACGTGTATTCTCTCAATCCCACCCTTCTTATCTTGATCATTCTATTGGCTAGTACAAGTTATGAAGCTCCTCATTATGCAGTTTTCCCCAGCCGCCAATTAAGTCATCCCTCTGAGGTCCAAACATTCTCCCAGGCAACCGCAGAGAAAAGAAGTCTTGCATTCAATGAGATCTCAAGTACAGCGATGTTGAAAATAAAATCTAGTACATTTCTAGTGATGCTGTAATGTCTATATCACTATCTGATGATGCATTTTCAAGAATGTTTCAGACAGGAGAGAAGATAAATTTCTATACAAAATTTTGGTTTCAAATTCTCAAGGGAAAAGGTGACTAAGAGGCCTATACACAGATGGGAAAGTAAATGTAAAGCTGTCCTCGTGGTTAATTAACAAAGCATCACACTATGAAGACATGGAGGGGAGTAGAGGTACAGCTCCACACATCCTTAAATTCTGCATTAGATGGTGATCAGTGGTCAGCTTCATGCCTCTGTCACAGGGGCAGAGTTCCCAGTACTCACTGTATAGGAGGTTTGATGGGGCGCAGAGTCAGTCTTGACAATATGGAGAAAAATCTCTTGAAGAGCTTCTGGGTCATAACCCTATTTAAAAAAAGTATGTAAAGCTATCACTGTAACAGGCTGTGAAGGGTCATAGGGTTGTGAGACGTTGAGGGTCCCACATTATCTAGACAATTGGCTCAAAGATGGTAGTAAGGTTGTCAGCCTTATGCGCCAGCTGCACTTTACTTCCCAGGAAATATAACTCTATGTAGTCCGTCGAAAGTCAACTGACATTTCAGAGAAACATGCTGCCTCCAGCAAAGCTTTCTATGCTGCCTGCTTCATGCTAGTTTCTTGCTCAGCTTACTCTGCAGCAGTAGAGGTGGAGGCGACATTTACCTCTGAAACTTTGATTGACTTTTAAACAGACTACATACCGTTATAGCCTAGAAGACAGTACTCTTCATTACCACTGTCGTGAGAACCTCAAATCCAACACAGAAAAATCTCTTGTCTTTGCCTGGATTCAAATCACAATTACTCACTCATCCATTATGTGAGCCTAGTCACTACACCAAATGAGATGAGACAATATCAAAATAAATATCAGAGAATTATACTATAAAAGTATGGATTGGACTGAAATTGCTCATGATAGGATCAAAAGGTAGATCTTTGTGAATACAGCTGTGTACTTTTCAGTTAAATAAGACACACCATACTGGACTAGTCAAATAACTATCAACAATATGATACAGTATGCACATCTGGGATGGGGGGACGGTGAAGTAAAGTGAATGGCATAAACACTCTGGGGAGCTACACCACACACTTTTCATATCTAATCTGTAACTGATAAATTATAATTAAATACCACAAACTGGATTCTCATATTTGTTCATATCTTTAATATGAAGTCATAATATGGCAGAAGTAATTGCATCTCATACTTCAAAACCTGTTTACCTGCCATAACAGAACTACTTAATGCAAAATAGATACAAAGCACTTAGATCATTTCTGCACTATTAGGTCCCATGTTAAAATCTACAAGCACAGCATAAAGAGCATTTACCTGGAAAATAACCAGTTCAAATCTAAACCTATTGTTATCTACCTTAACATTAAAATTCTGGTTTTCTAGGATGTGACCCTGCATTTATGATCTATTTTACAATGATGTACGTTAACTCACACAATAAAGCATCAAATGGTAAGATGATCAGTGAATAATGAGTTGGAGAGTATTTGGAAGGAAGCCGTTGCGGCCCATTCTGAGGCAATCCCCCAACATTTGCCTGAAGGGAGCAAGGAAAATCACAAGAAATGTCACTAAGGATAGCTGGTGCCCTGCCTAAGATTCAAACAGAGCATCTCCCAAACCCGAAGGAATCAGGCAGAAACCAACTTGCCACCTGCTTCTTCTCTCTTTCTTGGCTTACTCTGTGACCCTGAAGATGGTGAAAATATATTCACATGAAACATCAGGCTCTCTCCATAAAGCTACAGACCACAAAATCATATTCTTCATAAATAATACTACTGTTTGCAATCATTAATTAATTCTGAAACTCCTGATAAACAGTGTAAACTGTGAGAAATGTACTTCACTTCATCACTCAGCTTTTTAATTAAATTTGGGCAAGGAGTGAGACAATATAAGAGGCAATCTTCAAGGTACCCTAACTTTGTCAGACTTTCCAATTCTGTGGCAGCAGACAGCAGTCGGTTGCTCTGAGCACAGGCAAGCAGTGTACAGAAGTAGTTTTGCTGGTGTAGATGTTCACTTCTAAATATTCTTGACAACAGTGCATTATAGTTAGTTTTTAGTATCTTTAATATTTTATGGGTTTCCCCCCCCCCATTTCTAAGATCATTTTTATAACCTAATAGAAGCCATCTCTCTCTCAGCTGGTATGTAAATATACAGACGCACACACATATATATACACTGATGAACTTTTTGCACCCAGTGCCTTCAGCTGCCAGGTAGCTACCCTGAAGAAGGAGGCATCAGGTTCCTGCAATATGTTATTACCTGTCTGCCAAATTACAGTGTGCAGTCCCCAAAGATCATAACCCTGATACCAGTAGAACCTCAAATCTCACATGTTACATTGCAGAAGAATTTTATAAACTGTTACGTTTACAGGTGTCTACTGATACTCTTCAGGACAGAATGGCACAGAATAAGCAGAATCTCCGTAATGAAATCCTGACTGAGGTGAGTGTTACCAAGTCAACTTGAACACTGCATGTTAAGGACAATCATGTGAGGGCACGATTCCAACACAGTAAATCTGTTATAGCAAACCAGATTCATGGACCATATTTTTATAGAATACCATAGAACTGCCAAATGGAAAGTCCACATGACATGATCATATGCCAGTTATATATATTTAGTGCATTCCCAATTATCACAACCTATTTATGTAGAGCCCATTTTGACCTTAACCTCCCATTTCCTTATATTCCAAATGGCCACACTCTAAGAGATTTCCCCACCAAAATTCTGTATGTATCTTTGTTCCCAGATTTCTTATATCTAGGTGGTGTAAAGCCACTGACAAGGAAATTATGTGGAAGAGTAATGCAGATGCAAACACTAAAATGGATGAGTCTATGAGTAAATTTCACTCTTCTCCAATAACATTTAATGAGAAAAAAATGTGGTGCACTATTTTCTGTGTGATTCTCACAGTTAAATAACAGGGAAAAAACAATAACTAAAAATTGATGCAAAGAAATTGCATGCAAGTTCTCTCACATGCAATTGGGCTACTAGAAGACATACCATTACTCATATTTCCTCAAAGATACCACCTACTGAATTTTAGTCAGAGTCATGGCCTCCAAAAATTAAATAAATTTAACCAAAATCGTTATACAAAGATAAAAAAATACAAGTATATACGTTTGAGAGTCACTGTGAAGGGTCCCTATTTTTTGATCTAGAATGTTCACATTTACTGAACAAAGATCTGTGAGGGGAAAAATTTGTTCAACCATTCATGCATTAGCAAGGCACATACAGTTACAGACATACAGGCAGACAACATTCCAAAAGCCAGTTTTTCATATTCAAGGTTGCCGAAAGCATGCAAATTCACGAAAATCTTCAGATCATTTCTTTTTCCACAATCACAATACTTTCTCATACTACACATATAAGAAATAATAAATAAAGTAAACACAAAATTAAGTATACCCATAAAGTAAAGTAAGTAAAGTAAAGCTATCCCTGTAACAGGCTGTGAAGGCCCATAGGGTTGTGAGATGTTGAGGGTCTCACATTATCTAGACAATCAGCTCAAAGATGGTGGCAAGGTTGTCAGCCTTATGCGCTGGCCCCGCTTTACTCCCCAGGAAAATTATTTAATTAATTCCTGGTACTCATTTATGTTAGAGGCTGAGTCAACCCCAGGGCCATAGTGCGGCTGGAAGGATTTTTTATTAAATAAGAAGTTAATATTATCAGTGCAATTCTTTTAAGTGTGGGACCATGCACTGTAATTTACCCATTTAATCCACTGCAAATTCTGTCTTAATGCTAAGATCCCATTGGATCTGTATCTTTATACTGCACATCCAGGTGAAACATCAGATGGTTCTGCTCAGCCAGTCTGACGATAAAGGCAGTGGGCAACCCAACTACAGCTGGCTGTCTCAGAAGCCACGACTAACATCGGGTCAGAGGGAAAAACTAGAGGAACTAACAGCAAAGGTGACACATTAACAAAAATTGTGTCATACATATAGGTAAATCCAAAGCTGGAAATTTCACGCAGCCTGTTAAATCAATTAACTGCATGTTTCAGAATTCAAGAATATAATTTCATCAAAAAATGTGCAAATTTTGGTTTCTAGCAAACACAGAACATGTTCTGGGAAAATAATGTACACATAGTTCAATTTTATGGTTAAGCAAGCAGAAGTATTCATTCTTTGGCAGGGATGTGGTTGCTTTCCTTGTCAATATCACAATGTACAAAAGCTGAAATTTTAAACATGCAATAACAAAGAAACTAAAGTTTACTCATGTCATTAAAAAAAAAGACTGGGAATGATAATTCAAATTGCATCCAAAAACATTACCACAATATTTGCACATTGCTATGACAGCTAGGACTGCCATACAGGTATGCAAGATCACAATAAATTGCTTCATATCTTTGCGTTCGCTATTATGTCTGCTGTAGGAAACAAGACATGGTGGACGGTAAACAAAACTCTAAAATAAATTCTAATACCAATTGCAACAGGATGCTAAGCTACAACATTGAGACACAGAACAGTTTCATTTGTATATACACATTAGATATGCATTTCTCAGTCAATTTATACCAAAATGGAGTTTAAAAGGTCATAGTAGAGCATACTTTGTTATATTCCATCACTTAAAGCCAAAAAAAAAAGTATGTTTTCAACTTCGAATGCCAAGTACTTTCTCTCTGATATATAACTTCCAGTTGATGTTCATACTGCTACCGAGGAGAACACTGTAGTGGATAATTGAGGAGCTATTTCAAGGGAATAGCGGCTCCAGTCTAGAAAACCAGGATTAATGACCATGGGGATCCACTGCGCTGACCACGCAACACCCTCTATCCAAAAAAGTTGGCACTAACTTTGTCGACAAGCAGCGGTCGATCAGTCAGTATAGTTCACTTGCAGAATACAGGCCACAGAGTTCGTTTTGTAGTATGGTATGTTTACCAACGCTTTTGAGGAATGTACTGCTTCCATCTTCAGGGCTGAAGTGTGAGGGCTGTGATGATGGAGGCAGAAAATTCTTACAAAACGTCTGTAAGCATCTACCAGAGAATATGGTGTCATATACCAGAAAACGGTTATGTCCAGATATGTCTGACAACCTCATTTTACTAGACCCAAAAACTGATGAAATTGTATAAAACTCTCGAACTGGTAGCAGATATTACACAAAGACTGGAGTAGCTGGGGCATGTGATTGGAACGGATTGATAAAAGAAGGCTAAGAAATTTTTTAGAAGTCCGAAGGTAGATTAAATGTGGGAAGGTACAGACTCAGATGACTGGAAGATACACAGGATAATTTATGAGTAGAGAATGAAGAGATGGAGGCAAAAGACAAACAATAGATAAGAACAAGGATCTGTCATAAAGGAAGCCAAGATTCTTAGGATGAAGACATAACTCAGATGGTTCAGTTAAACTTACTAATAATACAAATACATGTTTTGGGTAGATAGGAGAGGCAGAATGCAAAACTGCAGTAATGACTTTGAGGACAGAACTCGAAAGAGATGCTACAGTACCAGCATGTGATGTGCCAATGATGATGTGCCAGATACTGCAACAGCTTGTGCAGGATCACAACACAGCCAACTTGTTCAGGTATAGAAATCGCAGTACAGTTAACTGACACGGTGTGATGAGGGATGGCAGATCACACTGTAAGGTGTGTTAGTATGATTATATAAACAAGCAACGAATCATTCCATTCTTATGATGGAATAAGATGAATTCTAGATGTAACTGGGTTACAGTGAATGTTTTATTTAATGATGCTGTCGGTAATTCAGACTATATAGCACTGAATGGTAGGATGATTAGTGAATAATGAACTGAAATGCATATGGAAGGAAGAAAGCGTGGCTTAATAATCCTCATGTAACATTTATCTTGTTTTGGGGCAGTTATTTAGTTTGTCTTGACTGGCACTCAATTTATTTAGCTGCCCCAAAATTGCTTGTAAAGTCAGATCCATCTATGATCCCACTTCTAAAACCAACTGTAATATTAATCTTGTTTTGGAGCAGTTTTTTAATTTGTTACAGAGCCAACTGTCCAGAAAATGTGAGCGCCTCAACATCTCACTACCCTATGGGCCTCCACAGACTGTTACAGGGATGGTTTTACCTTTACCTTTATGTTTTACCAGTCTTTATGTCAATTTGTTTTAGTTCATTTTTAGTTCCCTAAAGGCCACTGCACTCTCTTTTTGTATTCACCAACTTGAGACTGACAGCACGTGTCATTTCACCATACACAAACACTGCATGTCGCCTCTAAGCAGAGAGTGACTCTCTTCAGGCTAGCAGCCATTGTTTCATATATGTAATCTTCCTAGAATAATCCTGAGCCTTCACAAGTTGACTAGGCCCTCTGCATTGTGATAAGAGCCAGGAAGAGAGAGGGGGAGGTCCAGAAAATTCAACAGTGATGTGCATACATATGTTAGCAGGTGACCTGCCTCCACCCTGCACTCAGTCCATGACACTGGCATTTACCTGAAAGTACTGAGAAAAACTACAAAACAGCTCAGTCAAGACCCATGACCTCGCACATATCTCAACAGGGCACCTCCTGAATATAAGTAAGAAGTGTTACCACCTGACCCAACTTCCTCATGTGTATTAGATCGAGGCTAGAAAATTATACTGATGCCACTCACCTGGACGAGTAAAAATTTCATGTCAGTGTCTGAATGTTAATTGAAAGCACCAGAATTAAACTGTTGACCTACATTTTTTTTGGACGAGATTGACAGATGTTTTTTAACAGGCATGGAAGTTCATACTTATGCCAAGTCCATACCAAAATAATGTTTCAAATTTTATAAAAGCTTGTTTTGTTATGAAGGTGATTACTTAAAATATAGTTTAGTATTCTGACCGCTTGATTCCAAAGATTATATTCTTTGGCTATGTTTCATACAACATGCAGTCAACATGCAACCATACCCTCTGGCCACCACCCAGAGTGCAGAGCAATAACTTCCATTTTCCATGGTATTATTCACAAATGCCACTGTGATTTAAGCATCCATCAAGAAATCATCAATATGCAAATGAATCTACTGAATGGTTACTGCTTCTTATTATTTTGGAAGTCTTGGGTTCCTATCTCAGCCCAGACACTGCTTAATCTGAGGTTTCCATCATTTTCCTAACCCTACCAGGAAAAATCTGGGATAACATCTCAAGTCAGACAATAATTGCTTCCTTCCACTTCCTTTCTAATCCATTAATTATTAATCACTCTATCATTTAAACTTCATTGTTATTTTAGGATGTCACTGGCCCATATACATCCTGGTTTATCAAGAATTCTTAACCCAATGTTTACTGTTTTATTGCTCACTTTTACCTGCAATTAGTTGGGCCACTTAACAGTTACATTTTATTAAATGTTATGCTCAGTTTTATAAAATATGATTTACCTTGATTTTTATCCAAGCATATGTAGCTGACAATGCTGACATACAACAAAACACACTCAGTACTGTACAATCTGAGCTACTGACAGCATCATAAGATAAACCATAAGTGCTTAGATATACATACTTACTTACTTACTTATGAAGCTGAGCCCTTCTTGAGGAGCCACCAAATCTGCAGCTACTCAAGAATTTCCCAGCATTTTATGGAACCTGAAGGTATCTCTCTAAGATCCATTTTAATATTGTCCACCCACCTACTCCTTGGTTTTCCCAGTGGTCTCTTTCCTTCCGGCTTTTCTTCCAATATCTTACATGCATTCTTCTTCTCCCCCATTCATGCTACATGCCCTGCCCACCCCATCCTCCTTGACTTGATCATTTTAATTATACTTGGAGAAGAGTACACGTTACGAAGAGATACATATACATACACACAAAATACAAATCTGCTGAGCATATTGCATTTTGGTTAACCATAGTAGACTTAAATCCAAGAATTTTAGCCCCTGTATTAGCTATTATAAGACTTGGTGATCATTACATAATGTCTGGTGATTCATATATTAACAGAAGTGCTAGAATGGAGAGACGTCAGAATACACAACAGTACCAACGATCCACCAAGAACGTAACTCAGCAAGATGCTATCAGAACCATTACAGAAATTGTAGAAGGAACTGCTATAGATCACACTACTGGGTAAGCACAGAAAGATACAGCTGCATTTCACATCTCCTAGTAAATACATTGAACAAGTCGGATTACATGTCACATTTAGAAAAAACACACAAACACAATATAGTTATAGAAACATAGCAAAACAGGGTGAAGATAAAGTTTTCCCTGTGTTACAGTATTGTACCATGAAGATGTGTGGGGTGAATGCAGATGCAGCTCCATACATTCTTAACCTCAACACTGGTGAGTGGTGAATGGGAGAGTACAGGGTACAGTTGGTACAGGGAACTCTCCCATGGGGAGAGTTCCCTGTACCAACTGGATAGAAAGCTCAGTAAGCCCCAGGGTCAGTCTGGATGAAATGAAAACAGAGAAATATCTCACTACTTCTGGGAATTGAATTCTGAGTCCTTGGATGTGCAGCTGTTGGCATAGTCAGTAACTTACTGAGCTATCCCACCTCCAGTCATATACGTATCATTATTAATTCCTTACCAACCATGCAATAGGTTAGCCATAGTCAGAACTACATTACACTCAAAATAATGTTTATTATATTCTACAAAGAAACATACTGTCACATGTATGAATATGTCTGTAGTCAGGTTTTGGATCAATGATCAGATTTACATACCCACGCGCATGTGCACGCACACAAACTAGTGTCCACAGTCATGTCTGCACTAGCCGTTGCTCGGTAGTGGCTTCCAAAGGTGGACGTTCCCCTTCCTCTGGGTTCCCGACCTGTTCCTGGTCTCAACTACAGCAATTCTCGGCTGACTGACTTACTGACTCACTCATCAACCAACTGCTCTGGTGCTGTTTCCTCAATTACAGTCATTAAGTAATTGTTTCACAGTTGTTGCCTAGCAATGGGTCTACATGCCACAATATATTGTACAGGTTATTTCATAAAGAGTTCTATCTTCTGGGATATATTGCCACGTGGTACATTGAAAGACAATCATCCTTTCTGAGGAACACGTTGCCTACATCTTCATGGTAAAAAAATCAGCCAAACGAGAAACCAGCATGAAGCAGGTGGTGAGCAGAGTGCTCTGCTGGTCTGTGAAGATCATGTGTGTCTTTCATACAGGCTGCATGAACCTCTAAGTTCAACCACAGACAAGTCTTACAGTGTGAAGACACCAAAGCTCGAAGTTGATGTTAAGTTACATTCAATACATATTACCAAAATCTATTTCCTTACAAATAATTCTTATTTCTCCTCCCATTTATGTCTGTCTTTTAATTAGTGCCCCCTTAGGATCCCATTATTTTAGCTTCTTTCACAAAAACTACACAACTTTGGCTCCAGCTCATCTTAACCTCTTTGATTTACCATTACAAAAAAAAAAAAATCTCCAAGTTCATCATGCAATCTTCACCATTTGTCATTAGTTCATCTAAACAATAACAAAAATTATGCTGTTATGACAATGACAATAAAACAAAATGCTTAAATAAATTTGCTAATAACATTCACAAAAACACACTGAAATTTTATTAGCCATTCCTACTTAAAATGATTGTTGGGCAATATGAAAATCATACAAAGAGCATTAGTCATCCAAGACCTCTACAGTATACAGCTCTTGTGTGCCTATCTGTAAAACCCAGGACTTACCAATACTTGTAGCACTTACTGCATCATGACCCATAGACTCTATTTTCTGCAGCCAATTAACTGACAAACTAACCATTCCATGTGTACAGGTCTAGCCACAAAACGTATCTACCGCATGATGAACCAGGCCAACAGACTTCGATGACCAGCTCATGCTGTGCTGGGCCAGGCTCGGACCAAATGTCAGCCACAAACTGAATATAAAAACCTTCATAAGTAAAGATTTAATAACCCTAGACATCAGAAATACTTCATAAATTTCATATAGATCACAGTAATTTAATATTACAATCATGTACAAAAATATTCTTAATTCATTATTAAATGTTTACCAACTCCAAAGCTGGGGAACAAACCCTTGTCATTCACCAGCAACTGCTTATTCCACATACTTGCAGCTACTGTCCACATGTAAAGACGCTCTCCTCCATCCATAACTTCAGAACCAAGCTATTATTACAAGTACTCACTGTATTAGCAATCAGGACCACAAGACTGATCCTCTGTTTGTCACGTTTGGAGGTGCCATGTACTAAATGCTTCATTGTTAGTATAAATGAAGGGTATGTGGAGGAAACTGGCCTTAATGAAGTAATAAACTTTAATGTTCAAAAGAAAGAAATGTCTGGCTATAATCTGAAACCACACTTACAGTCTCTCAATTAAATCCAAGATTTAGATTGTAAAATTTACATATGGCATGTAAAAAATTCTAAGTGCTTCTCTACATTCTCAGTTATACATGCTTGTATTTGTGAATAGATGATGGCCAAATCTATTGTACTATTAAATCAGGTTGGGTCGAAATTTTTGACATTCTGAAGAGATGGAAAAAGCTCTGGAGGCCAATATATTTGAACCAACATGCCTACAACCACGTGTTTACATGGTTAAACCGTGGTGACTCAGTTCTGCCCGTTCTTAATTATACTCCAAGCCATGAATACGCATAGACGATCACATTCTATTACCAAGCATTCTTGGCCTTGATACTAAACGACCAAACAAGGTCGCGCCATAGCTGAAGTGGTTGGTCACTGGTTTCCACTGCGCCGGCCCGGGTTCGATCCCGAGGTCTGGTTAAGTGGGATTTGTGCTGGACAAAGTGGCGCTGGGGCGGGTTTTCTCCGAGTACTTCGGTTTCCCCTGCCAATCTTCATTCCACCAAATACTCCATCATCATAATCACCCGGGGCAGTCTACAATTGGCCAATCAGTGGCTGCCGTGCCCAGTGGACCCAGTTGGACTCCAGCCCCCACTTAGCGAATCAAATTTAAAAAAAAAACGTGCAAATCGTGTCCCGCCGCATGTCCATTTGCACCAACCGAACAGAACTCGAGAAACTTCAATATTGTTTTGTGTTCCGAGACGAAGGCAGAAATCTCATCCCGTGGCGAAAATCAATCTCACTCTTACAATCTGCGCCGTGTCTGCGCTAACCTAAATCACACGTTCCAACTCAAGACCCTTAAGACGGTCTACGTGGTCTGCACCGATCTGCTACCATATCAGCATATCAGGCTCGAGCAGAATCAGATTAGAATCGTTCAGAATGTTCCTAGTCTTCCCATCGATTCACATCACAGGGATCAAGAAACGTCGCCTGGTTCTTGGTCGACTCAGTGGACTGGCAAATTAAAGAAAATGGATTATAATTATGGAAACTAAATAGAATATACAGCTTAAATGTGTAAATGTTATGAGACATACGCTTCTCCTACATGAATTGGTTAGATTTATCTAAGGCGATTCTTAAAAGATTATTCCATAGGAGTAGCGTAGGTTCCACGTAAGGGCGGATGCACACCAAGAAAAGTGGCAACCAGGAAGCAACTGCAATTTCCGAGAACTATTTTCAGCCCTGAGTTGAACACATGTTAATGAATGGAGCAGCGCAAATTGAGGAATCTGCGTTGCGGTTGCCAGTTTCCTTGGAGTGCCCTCGCCCAAAATGTAATGTTGTGATATGACTCGGATAATCCAAGTGTCATCGAAGTACCTCAAATGAAAGCATGCGCAACTTTGGGCATCTAGTATCTTCGCTCTAATACAATCAACGAAGTGGGTATGATTCAGTGTTTGTTGAGTGGTGGAAGATATATTGTATAAATTTCTGTGCGGCCACTTAACAGCGTGAATAAATTGGTCTGTAATATTGTAAATTGTAAGTGGAACTTCTTTGGAAATCAAGATGAGCCTTCAGTGGACAATTATTGCAACCTTTTTGTACGTCGAAATAGCTGTAGTTTTGCTACTTGTATTGCCGGTTGCATCACCCCAGAGATGGCACAAAATCATCAATTCGCGGTTTTTACGTGCTCTGAGTAATCAAGCCTCGTTTTATTTCCTTATTCTCTTGGCTATACTCGTCCTTCTTTTCCTGGACGCTATCCGTGAGATGAGGAAATACTCCAGTCAGGAGACAACAGAAGCAACCCACGCACACCTTGATGCAGAAATGCAGGTAAACATGCGCCTGTTTCGAGCCCAGCGTAATTTTTACATCTCAGGCTTTGCCCTGTTCTTGTCGCTAGTCATCCGTCGGTTGGTGACTCTAATATCTCAACAAGCATCGCTTCTGGCACAAAGTGAGGCAGCAATGCGGCAGGCACAATCTGCTACAGCAACCGCGCAGAGTTTGTTGGCACAAAATCAGACAAGCATGGCCCAAAATGACACAAATGAAGCCCATGATAAGGAAGTAACAGAGTTAAAGGAGAAACTGGCCAAAGCAGAGAAAGCATTGGAATGGGAAAAGAAGGATAAGGAAGCACTGAAGAACCAAGCAGAGTCCGTGAATAAGGAATATGATCGCCTGAATGAAGAATATCGCAAACTTCAGGCCAAGATTGATGCTGGAGTTGAACCCAAGAAGGATGCATAAGGCTCTCATAATTATTCATAATAACCACTAACTGTGATGCCATTTTCACAGTCTAAAATAAGCCTTATAATGTTAACTAATATTACTTCTATCTAGTTGTACATTAAGTTAAGTGGTGTTGCAATGGCATCTGTACTATTTGACAGACTATGAGACACAGTTTTGGCAAACCATTTATTAATGTACAATCTTGAAGAACTCCATATAGTTCTTGAAATCATAACATTTTGCAGACCTGTTTGAAATAATGTAAGGATTACTCTTGCTCAGAACTTTGTTGAAAAATACTTATGAATTGAAAGTAATTTTAGTTACTGGACCTCTGTCAGAATGTATTTTGGTCTTTTTTTTTTGTTTTTTTTTTGTTTGTTTGTTTCAGTGGGTAACATTGCATAAAACTGATTAAATATTAATACCATCAAATTGAGCACTAAATAGCACATGTCTCATAGTGTAAAAGGATAATGCTCGGACTTAACTATATGGCAGCCACAGTGGATGGAAATGAAACTGATGGGTTATGTACTTTTTCAGTGGTAGTTACTTTGTTGTGTTATTTCCTTTTTTAACGTTTTGTATCAGCTATTTTTGTAAGTATCATAAAGGGTAGAAGTAGGTAGGTACTGATGTGTTAACATTTTCCTTGTACAGTTCATTAAATATGAAACCCTTCGCCATTATAAGTGGAATGATGAAAAGACTTGAAGTGAAATCATTCAGCATGTGTATATAGCAAGAGATTGTTAATTAAAGAGGACTCCCTGTACTGTCTCACAATCTTAAGTCAAAATATTTTCACTTGGAACTAATGTTTTCTGCAACTTATATGTTCATATATCACGTAACAATGATCTACAGAGACAAAATAAATATATTACATGAACGAAAAACCTTAAATCAGAATGTAACATACTCAACAAATATTCTCATGTTTAACTAAATACTGGTTGTAAAGTTTTGTTGATCATACTCAATAAATACACGTAATGTGGCCCATACAAAGTTGAATATTTTCAGTTACCATGATAAACTACCCTAAACTGTTTTCCCCCCACCCCTAATTTTTAAGACTCCCATTATGCTTTAGGCCATGCTGCAGAACTGTGGTCCAGTGATACCTGATGTGGATAAATGGAAAGTTCCATTCTAAACCAAAATTACTCTTCAATTTTGGTTAGGTGGTAACATTTTTTGATTTTACCCAGGATACTGTTTGTGGTTTTCTTTACTATGTGAGTGCTGGGATTGCTTCAAATAGTTTTTTGAAGTTCACAAACTGTGGTCACATGATACGACACCAAATAGCTGCTGTTGATAAACTCCATGGTTTTAGTCCACAAGCGAACTGTACCAACCGAGCGACCGCTGCTTGTCGGTGAAGTTAGTGCTGTTTATACAGTGTCAAAATAACCTACAAACCACTCATTTTAACATTCACTGCAAAACCCATCCTCCAGTTCCCTATTATTTTCAGGTGTTGCCATAATGCAACATACTTTTTAGTGTGAATTATTTTATGACTGCCAGAATCATGAACTTTATAGTGATCAACGATTGACAACATTGAAGGATGCAACCATTACTCACTTGGAGGGACTGATGGAAACCATGAAAATCCTGTCGTTGTCATGGCCGATGTTAAAAAATTTAACACCTCTGGAATAAAAGTTAGAGCATTACAATTATGTCAGCCTGTCTGTTGCCATAACATGGTACAATGTTGCTGCTAAAGCAAAGAACCCATTCCGCCACACTGCTAATTCCCCAAAACTCTACCACTCTTTACTGTTTTTAATTCTCATTAATAGGTGCAGGGATCTGAAGTGTCTGATGCCATACCTTAACACAGCACACCATGATTTCACAAATGAGGTGTTAACAGTTGTGTTATTGATAACCACAACATCTGATGCGGAGAAAATACCTATAATCTGAAAGGAGTAAGCCATGGCAGTAAACATGGCATATTTGGTGTGGAGCATTTGCTACTAATAAAATATAGGTTGAAGTGCATTTTTTAGCCTATTTAATTTTATATAAGGGTGATTAACCACCAAACTGAAGATGTTAATGTATAACTCCACACATTCTGATAGAGGGAGTGGTCAGCTTCCATGTCCCAGCTACTTTACTGCTTCAGAAAGAGCCTCCAGTACTCACTGAATAGGAGGCTGGTTGGTTCCAGAATCAGTCTGGACACTGGAGAAAAAACTTGTGCCATTTGGAATTGAGTCCACAATTATTTGCTCATCCAACATGAAACAGTTGCTATACCAGCTGCATTATTCCAGCTCTTACTTGATTTTATGAAGAAAGAAGAACTTCTGGTGGAGTCCATATAAATGTATTTTTAACCAATTGATTTTCATTAAACTTAAAACATGAACCCCACATTTAATGTTCCTCAGTTTAAGGTATTCCTGCATTTAACATTCATTTTCAATTATTTAAGATTTTAGTGTTTAAATCCACTGCTTTCCAAAATAAACTTTAATGGGGGTTTATGTATATAAACAAACACCATGTTATTATAAAGCACCCTTTCAATAATACCAGCATGATAGTCATATAAACTTATTTAACACTAACATCACTTAAACTGAAGTTTTGAAACTGGCAATAATTTTTAACCTAAGAATTATCTTTTTCTGATTAAAATGCAGCTCAGAATTTTTGTTACAATTTTGATCTGATGGTGATAAACCACTCGAGAAGGTTTGTATATTCAATTTTGTACGAATATCATAAATAAATAATATTATATGTGAAATGTTGTTTACATTTCAGCAGTTACAAGCCAGTAGTTCAAAACTTTGGGGTTATATCTGACAAACAGAACACACATTGTAACTGTATATTATATCCAAAGTTATGCATCAAACATAATGGTGTAAGTACTTGAAATTTTTGCTGCTTTCATTGTATAGGCAAACATTTTGGAAGTGTGGGAACACAAGCGTCATTGCTTAGCAACAACGAGTAAACAACGGTTGCTAGGCAAAAGCGAGTAAACAACCGTTACGTAATAGGTACTGCTGTTGCCAGACACCGTGTTTACAAGTTCCCTAGCAGGAAGGCAGGTGTCACAAGTACATTTTATCATGTTCTCATGGAAAAGTTCAGTTTTTGTTGTTTAAAATCAGCAAACTGCTCTGAATGCTGAGAAATGGTAGAACCAGACTTTTTCATTGATATAAAACATTTGATAAATCCAGACCAGAAGCACAAAAACTTGTGAATAGCATGGAATATGTTAGACCCATTAACCAAAGCCCAGAATGTTCAGTTCTAAATGAAAGCAAACTTCATCCTGTTCCAGTCTTAAAACATAACAATTCATATTATATTTAGTTAAACAAAATGCAGAAGAGGCCTTCTTCAAAAGTTAATAGCTGCTCAGCTTGTCTTGAAGTTTCAAACACTTCTGGAACACATAGGTTCAGTACCATGTTCAGAAGCGTCTGCTACTGATCCCTATCATGAGCCCAATAAAACCATTCCACATACTGCCATCCTATTTATTTTAAGATCCAAATATTTTCCCTCATCTATGCATAGTTCTTCCAAGTGGTTTCTTTCCTTTCTCCCATGCATGCTACATGCCCTGCAAATCAATTTGTGTGTGGTTTATTTTGTGACATCAGTATCTCAGGCTATATAGCACTGAATGTTAAGATGATTAGTAAGTAATGAAATGGAAAGGATTTGGAATGAAGCAGCCATTTCCTAGTTTACTCTTCCAACATTTGCCTGGAAGGACTGAGCAAAACCATTAAAACCTGTGTGCTGGTTTAAAAAATGGTAAAGTTGTCCCTGTGCTTAAACAATTAAGCACTACGCAATGAAGGCATATAGGGGAGTGAATGTATAGATCCACATTTTCTTGACCGCAGCACTAGCTGGTGGTGAGAGGTCAGCTTCACGCCCTGTTACCCATTGGATAGGAGGTTGGGTGCCCCCACAGAGCTGGTCTGGATGACACGAAGAAAATTCTTGACCCTACCAGGCCTCGAACTCTACACCGACTATGCTATCCCAGCTCCTCCCATTGGCTGGGGTACCAGCTAATATAAATCTCTGCGGCCCCCCAGCCTCCTACTCAATGGGTACCAGAGGCCCTTTCCCCGAGGGTAAAGCAGCAGAGGCATGATGCTGACCCCTCACCTCCAACTAGTGCTGAGATCAACAAAATGTGGATCTATACATCCACCCCCCACACCTTCATGGCATAGTGCTTAATTAGTTAAGCACAGGAACAACTTTAACTTTTTTTACCTTTCACTAGTGTGTATCAAAAGGTTCAAGTCTGTGGGCAAGTTCTAAGTTAGCCTCGATCACATGTACAAAGAAATTTTGTACTCAATTATATGCATTTGACACTACTGAAACTAGATCTTAATCCCTCAGGGTAAAATTGGCAGAGCACAAAGCTGATCACTCATTTCCACTGAGTTCTAGGTTAACAGATTCAAATTTAGTAAAATAGACATTTTTTAGGACTGGTAAACTTTCTGAATCTCCTATGGATTTGATCAAATAAAAACTTTGTTTAATTTATGGCAAAGATACTGTATATGAGTGGCCCAGCTTAGGTTATCTGTGATATAAATACCTAAACATTTTAAATTTGATGAGTAAGTTATTTCTTTATTTTTTAGATACTCCTCATTTGATGGAATGTTTGTAAGTGTGCATGACAAATGCAAGATCATCACAATTTTATTAACCTTCAATAAGAATAATATAATATTTCATTATTTTGTTGTCTTCTGGCCTGACAGTGTGTAGTCTGGTAGGTTAGAGCAAAGACAATGCACCGTTGCAATCCAGAAGACCACAGTACAGATCTTCTGCCATGAACACTTTCAAATCTTATTCAGATATAGGTTAATTTCTTTGATATATTCTGGATTGTTAATCGTTTTCTTCCATCATGTATTAATAATATTTATGTGGTCTAGTGGTCAGAGTTCCTGGCTACAGATCCAGAGGTCCCGAGTTCGATTCCCGGCGCTACAAGATTTTCTGAGAAGTACTGGGTCTGGAACAGGGTTCACTCAGCCTTGTGAAGATAACTGAGGAGCTATTTCAAGGAAATAACGGCTCCAGTTTAGAAAATCGAGACAAACGGCCGTGGGTACGCGTTACGTTGATCACGTGACACACACTATCCTCAAAAGTTGGAACTAACTTCGCCGACAAGCAGCGGTCGCTCGGTTGGTATAGTTCGCTTGTGGACTACATGCCACGGAGTTATATGTATTGAAATTTGTATTGATTCTAGCCATATATTATATTTTTTTCAGAAAGTTACTTAGGCAGGTCTTCTTTTCTCTATTTGTGTTGTCCTGTTTAGGCAGGGAACACATGACAGGCTGACCCCCTGTCCAAGGAATCTACCAAATCTCGTTAACTGACTCGAAAACATGAAAAACAAGAGGTTTGGACCATATTGTTCTGTCATGTAGATTTTTTTCACATTTAAAATATTGTGGCGTATTGGCTCTATGCAGGAACCGTTGAGCCACAGAGGCCTCGGGGTACGCGCGCAACGTGAGAGTTGCGGATTGTATCTGCGCGTTGCTAGGCGACAACTCTGTGAACGCTTGGATTGCGCGTGCGATTGACGTCACATACCACACTCCACCCGTAACTACGCAACGCTCGGAAAACACCCCTCCCCGCTAGGCTGTGACGTCACGCAACAGTGGAGTCCGTGCAGACTGTTGCTAGGCAATCAGTAAACACGACATTACGCAACAGTGGTAGCTATCACGTAACTGCCAAGGCCTTCAGAACATTTATTAGAATCTACTCCCTATTCAGAAGTGAGCACTTGAACGCAAATATTAAACTAACCCTCTACAAGGCACTGATCAGATCAGTAATGACTTAACGATTGTCCCGCCTGGGAATTAGCGGTAGACACCTACCTCATAAAATTGCAGCGCATGTAAAACAAGGTTTTGCGCACCATTGGAAATTTTCTAAGGTGCAC